TTTTTGTGGTTCCAACGACAGAATTATTTTGCCGCTCCAGTTTTTCTATATATTTGAGTGAAAACAGATGATAAGACATGAACAAAGAAAAAATAGGTTTCTGAAAAATCGCTCCCAAAAATTATTTAAATGTATTGAGCAACTTGGGGATAAAAAGTACCGTCTTAAGGGAACCTTTTGAGAAATTTTAAAATGTTGGTGTTCTATTTTGCAACCTCGTTTCTCTTAATTCGCCTGTGAGAAACGGCGCTCGATAGAGCGTTGAGTTTTTGTCTCAGCATAGCTGAAACGTGGGTTGTTGATTGCTGCAAATTTGGAATCTCTAGATTTGTGCAGAGAATTTTGAGAAATTTTCAAAACTTGGCGTTGCATTATACAACCGCGTTTATTATATTAGTTCGCCCCGAAGAAGCCGCAATTATCAAAAACTCGATTTTTTATCTTATCGCAGTTCAAACAGGACTTGCATATTCTGGCAAATTTGGACTCAGAAATTCTTTTGAAAAATTTTGGTAAATTTAAAAATTTTTGTGTTATATTCTGCAACCCCGTTTCTCTTAATTCGCCTTTGAGAAACTGCGTTCGATAGAGCCTTGAGTTTTTGTCTCAGCATAGTTGGAACCTGGATTGTTCATTCCTGCAAATTTGGAATCTCTAGATTTGTGCAGAGAATTTTGAAAAATTTTCAAAACTTGGTGTTGCATTCTGCAACCCCGTTTATATTAATTTGCTCCGAAGAAGCCGCAATTATCGGAAACTCGATTTTTTCTCTCATCAGAGTTCAAACGGTAGTTGTATATTCACGTTAATTTGAAATCAGAAACTCTTTGGAAAAAATTTTCCAAAATTTTAAAATTTTGGTGTTTTATTCTGCAACCCCGTTTCTCGTAGTTCGCCTTTGAGAAACTGCGCTCGACAAAGCCTTGAGTTTTTGTCTCAGCATAGTTTGAACCTGAATTGTTCATTTCTGCAAATTTGGAATCTCGAGGTTTGTGCAGAGAATGAGAAATGTTCAAAAGTTGGTGTTGCAACCCCGTTTCTCTTAATTCGCCTATGAGAAACTGCGCTTGATAGAGCCTTGAGTTTTTGTCTCAGCATAGTTTGAACGTGGGTTGTTCATTCCTGCAAATTTGGGATCTATAGAGTTGTGGAGAGAATTTTGAGAAATTTTCAAAACTTGTTGCGTTCTGCAACCGCGTTTATTTGAATTCGTCTCAAAGAAGTCGCATTAGGCGGAAACATGAAATTTTCTCTCACTGGAGTTCAAACAGGAGTTGTGTATTCATGCAAATTTGGAATCAGAAATTCTTTTGGAAAAAATTTGAGAAATAAAAAATTTTGGTATTCTGCAACCCAGTTTCTCTTAATTAGCTTGTGAGAAACTGCGCTCGATAGAACCTTGCATTTTTGTCTTAGCATAGCTAAAGCGTGGGTGGTTGATTCCTGCAAATTTGCAATCTCTACATTTGTTGCAGAGAATTTTCAGAAATTTCCAAAACTTGATGTTGCATTCTGCAATCGCGTTTATTTTAATTCTTCCCGAAGAAGCCGCATTAGGCGAACTTGAATTTTTCTCATCGCTCATCGGAGTTCAAACAGGAGTTGTATATTAATGCAAATTTGGAATCAGAAACTGTTTTGAAAAATTGTTGGAAAATTTTCTTTTGCAACCCCGTTTCTCGTAATTCGCCGTTGAAAAACTGCGCTCTATAAAGCCTTGAGTTTTTGTCTCAGCATAGTTTGAACGTGGGTTGTTCATTCCTGCAAATTTAGAATCTCTAGATTTGTGCAGAGAATTTTGAGAAATGTTGAAAACTTAGTGTTGCGTACTGCAACCGCGTTTATTTTAATTCGTTCCAAAGAAGCCGCATTAGGCAGAAACTTGAATTTTTCTCTCATCCGAGTTCAAACAGGAGTTATGTATTTATGCAAATTTGAAATCTCTAGATTTCAACTTTTTTCAACTATTTTTCAAATAGAAAAATTTTGAGAAATTTTAAAATTTCGGTGTTATATTCTGTTTCCCTCCGTCGTTCGCCCTGGAGAATTTGTGTCAGCCTAGTTTAATCATACTTTGTTCTTTCGTGTATTTTTCTAAAGGGGAAAGGATCGCATATTCTGTTCCAACAAATTCACAAAATGGTTTAAGTAGTGATTCAACTTCCGATATTTCATAGGGTGATTCCTCCACTATTTTTGCGATAAAATGTCCATTCAGGCAAGCTCTTACTTATCGAGCTATAGTGTGTTAACGAATAAAGGGTCAAAACGTCGGCAATTTTTTAGAGAATAAAGAAAGCTAGGGATTTAGACCAATCAGTACTTGGGTGCTCCAGATCTAGTCAAAAAGTTATGCATCCTGGAGGAGATTTACCAGTTTTGTTGAAGGACTTGTGAAAGTTCTGCATGTTTCGGTCCTGACTTTGAACCCAATTGCATATCAGCAAAACCGCCTGTCGGCCGTTAAGTTTAAAAATAGGTAATTACCGAAAAGTGATTTCTCAAACAGCTCTGATGCCATTTCATAACATTGCACTGGTTCGATTTGATTGTAATTAATTGAAATCAACATTTGATTCGATCTGCTTACATAAATTATGAAATAAAATGTAACCTTTTGCCTTTGTCTTTATCCAGCCTTATTGGCTCATCAAAACATGTTTTTGTTTGGGAAATTGCAAGAAATACTTTGGTATTTTGTGCTATTTGAGGAAATTGCCCTCAGAAAAATGATTAAACGCGATAATGCTATTAACAAAACTATTAGAAATTAGCATGTTGAGTCGTTAGCGGCTCGTAACTTAAACAATCTGGTTGAGGACACATTGCCACTTAAGACAAACTTTTAATTTGATTATGTGTATTTGTCGCCTTATTGCTTCATTTCAGTGTGCTTAATACTGTTTGAGCTGATCTTATTTAAATGTCGAAAGCCCGGATAAAACTTCTATTTTCAAGGTTCGCTTCACTTTTATTTACTCTGGCTGGAACAAACTCATAGGAAAAAAGGGATATAATATATATATATATTCTCTACAGAATTAGGTTGTTCTTGAGCGAACTTTTCTATCAAATTTCTTCTATTTTTAAGGTTCATTTATTGACTATCAAAAGCTTTGGTTCAAGAATTTCCTTTTTTCTCTGTTTTGTGTAACATTTTTACATTTTGGCCCAGGACACTTTTTCCTAGACAATTTCTGTTGAGTTATTGCAATGGTTTTTGGCGCCTTTTTCACTGATTTTTGCGTCTTCAGGTGCTGTTGCATTTAACACTCCATGACTGTTGTCGACTTTACTAAATTCTTAGTCAACTGTTGTTCTCTAAGTTTTTTGTTCTCCAACTCTTTCCTCGAACTCCTCCATTCCGCATCAGACCGAGTGAATTTTCGAAATGTTAGCTTCCTCAAAAAAGGAAGGGAAACAAACAAATTCGTAAATTTCTGCTACTTTTCTGGTTCAGTAAAGGTCTAGGAAAACATTTAGCCCAAAATCTTGTTAGCGTAGTTTTTTTGTGAAGTTTTCATATATTTTTCTGTTTTGAGCAAATTATGACTTCATCTTCTGTGATTTTTCTTGTAGAATCCCTTTTGTTTGTCCACAGCGCACTGAAACCTAAAATGTATTTTTTCATATTTTATTTACCAAAAAACCCCCTGTCAAGGTATTTGTGGCAGCAAGTAGTCTTTTCTTGTTAGTGTTGGAGGTTGAGAATTTACAGGCGAAGTTCCTGTTATTTTCAAGGTTCACTCACGTTTACTTACTCTGACGGGTTCGGTTAAGGATTAGGAAAAGTGCAAGTGATTCAACAAAATCACCATTTTTTTCCTATGAAAAGGGAGGCACGCAAGGGTTCGTTTCCACTCAAATTTCTGTTTCATTAAGAGACGATCGTTGATCCCGAGAGACGGACTATCTTGAGGGATGCAAATTTTGGCTGCTTTCAAGGTGCACTCCACATTTACATTCATTTGTAGACGTCGTTAACGATAGACTATCCCTAGACGTAACCAAGCAATCTCTGCTCTTGTGCAAAGGAAAAGGAATGCCAGAAGAAAAATGCACTTTTTCGGTCAAATTGCTACTGCTCCCAGGGTAAAAATCACACGTTAGAACAAGCATAATTTTGCTTTTCTCTGCGTTTATTTTAAGGCGGAATCTGTCCGTTCATGATTCATATCAGGTCCATCAGGGGGTATCTTCTCTGCTGCTGCTATTAACGTTGTATCGTCCGCGTATAGGCGCTTTCATCTCGCGAAGAACCACTAAAGGAAACTTGGAAAAGCTTTCTTTGACGTGCAAACTCGTCCTGTTTTGTTTTGTTTTCCTGGTCTCGTTCAATCTATGAGTCCAAAAAGCCATTTAGGTCGGGTTTTCTTGGTGATTTTCAAGATTTGCACCACATTTCCCATCAAAATAGTCATATGGAGTTGGCTGGAGGTTCAATTTTAGGGCCCTTAACGTGCAATTTTTGCACGTTTCTGGCAACTTTTTGCTTAGTAATGGCCCTTTCAAAGGCCCTTTTTCCACCTGGAAAGCAATCGATATTGTAGTAACATAGTGGTGTCATCCACTTGATTAACTCCTTTTGTTGTTGAATGTATTGCAATTTTCAGTGCTGTTCCGGAATTCGTGGGTTAACGTTCTCCGAAGCTTCCAAAGGTATAAAACACAGGTTTTTTGAGGTTTTCTGAGTGAGGATTTACGTATTAACTTTTTGTTATTTGATTTTTCCCGTTGTTTTTATTTGTTTGATTTGTCTTCTTCTTGATTCCTCGAAACCATGATTATTTAGTGCTTTGCAGCGAACATGAGTTTTGAGCGAATTTACCAATTCGATTGAAAGTGTGTTTGTAGGCCAGTCATCACCCTCAAAACCACTTCCTCATTCTCTTCGTCCTCTTTGTTGCACGTAAGAAATGCGTGCATTGCGCCACCTTCCGGCCGGTTCGCGTCGAACGGTTTACTTACCGGAAGCGACGCTCATTCAACCGCGAAACGACGCCACCGACGCCGGGATTTTGGTGCCGCCGCCGCGACCGCCGCTTCCTCTTCCGCACGCTGTTGTGCTTGGAAATCGGAAAATGTTCAAAGTAAGTTTGCTTACTTTTTCTCAGATGTACAGTAATTTTTTTGTGGTTTTATTGCTTCTTAATCACTATTGCTGTGAGTGTCAAACACTCCTAATTACGAAGAGTTTAAATAATAATTATGAAAGGAATAAAATGCAGAAAACACTTTCCAGTTTTTTGCGATTGCCTTTGCTTTGTTAGTTAAGAATAATTTCTTTACTTTTGTTTGTTGCGCCTCCGGATCAAAGTCAACTCTATAATTTCCATGTTGAGCAATAAATTTCGGATGTTATGCTATTTAGTGTCTTTCCTATCAGCCCGCGTGATTAGCAGAATAATGTTTTTAGGCAATAAATCTATTTATATTAGTAAAAAAGCACCGTAACTTTATCGGGCAATTAATAACTTTGTTATTAAAACAGCCTGCGTAGCCGATGGTTACAAAGTTGCAAATAAACAGTTGCATATAAAAAAGCGCACAATCACACACTGGTTATAAATTGGAATATAAATAAAATTGTTGGTGGAAAGAGGTGAATGAAAACATTGAACAAACATGTATAATAAACAAGCAAATGTTGGAAAATTGTGAAAAGTTCTTTCACATTTAAATATAAAAATTACGTATTGATTTAATCTGCACGTCAGATTTATAGAAGATGATTTTTGTGTTTTGTGTATAAACGATTTTCAATGGCTTGTACAAACTTCACAAACCCAAAACTCCAAATGTAGACAGTTTTACTGTGGGGTTTTCACATTAACCATGTTGTAGCATCCGGAAAATGCAGGAAATTTTCAAAAATTGCGGTGTTGCTTTTTGAAAATTACTTTTTCTTTAGATATTCCATTCTAACATTTTGAGCGAACGGAACATGTCGATAACTAAACAACAGTTAGTTTTACCGATGATCATTCCAAGACAAAAGTTGTTCAATTGCTTATAGAGAACCTAAAAATATCAAAAAAGGCAATGTTACATTTGACTAAACTGCATTTTTCGAGTGTTTTGAAATTGCAAAGTTTAAAAAAATTGCGGTGTTGCTTTCCAAAACTCATGTTTTCGCCCAGATGCTTCTTTGTGACGTTTTTAATGAACTAAACATCACGATAACTATACAACGGTTCATTTAGAGATAATATCCCCAAGGCAAAAGTGGTCCAATGGCTCATAGAGAATCTAAAAGTATAAAAAATGCAACGTTGCCAATGCAGAAACTGAAATTTTTGGAGTGTTTTCAACAGAACGTGTTTCAGTGACTGTTAATCGATTCACAGGCAAAATACTCTAGAATTGATGAGCTTTAGCCTAACTTTTTTCAATGTTAAAGAAACGAAAAAGTCAAAAAATTGCGACGTTGCCTTTTGAAAGTGAAGTTTTCGCAGATTCTTTAGTGCAACGATTCATTGAAGATAAACAGCTGGAAAACTATACGGCCGATTGATTTATAGATACGCACTGAAGAAAAGTTGTGCAGCGGATGATGATTTTCCAAAAATACTAGAAAATGCAACGTCGCTTTTAAGAGTGACCGATTTTTAAGAGGGTTTTTGTTCGAAAGTCCATCAATGTTTCATAACAGTTTCACATCTAGAAAGCTCCCGAATTAGGAAGTGTTTTAGTAATTTCGTCTCATGAGTGTTTCTTTCCCATGAAGACAAGGCACAAAATTTCGTGTTGCCTTTTGAAAGTGATGTTTTCCTTGGTTTCTCAGGTGTAAGGTACATGCAAAAGAACAAAACAGCTCGAAAACTACATAACCGATCAGTTTTGGGATGAAATGCACTGGACCAATTTTGTTCAACGGATCATAATGTTTTCAAAAATCCTGGAAAATGCAACATGGCCTTTCACAGTGACTAATTTTCAAGATGTTTTCACTGGAAAGTTCAGAAATGGTTTATAACAGTTTCACATCCAGAAAGCTCCTGAATTAGAGAGTGTTTTAGTCATTTTTTCTCAGGATTTGTTCTTTTCAATGCAGAAAAAGCACAAATTTTCGAAAAGTTGCGGTGTTGCCTTTTGAAAGTGACGTTTTCTTTGGTTTCCCAGGTGTATCTTTGCCAATGAGCAAAACAGCTCAAAAACTACAAACCTGATCATTTATCGGATGAAATGCACTGGACCAATTTTATTCAACGGATCATAATGTTTCCAAAAATACTTGAAAATGGAACGTGGCTTTTAACAGTGACCAATTTTCAAGATGTTTTCACTGGAAAGTTCAGAAGTGGTTTATAACAGTTTCACATCTAGAAAGCTCCATCATTAGAATCTTTTAGTAATTTTTTCTCATGATCTGTTCTTTCCAATGCAGGAAAACCACAAATTTCCGAAGAGTTGCGGTGTTGCCTTTTGAAAGTGACGTTTTCCTTGGTTTCTCAAGTGTATTTTTGTCAATGAGCAAAACAGCTCGAAAACTATAAAACTGATCATTTATCGGATGAAATGCGCTGGACCAATTTTGTTGAACTGATTAGAATGTTTTCAAAAATACTGGAAAATGCAACGTCGCTTTTCACACTGACTAATTTTCAGGGTGTTTTCACTGGAAAATCCAGAAATGTTTCATAACAGTTTCACATCTAGAAAGTTCCACAATTAGAGAGTGGTTTAGTACGTTTTTCTCATGACCTGTTCTCTCCAAAAGCAGGAAAAGCACAAATTTCCGAAAAGTTGCGATGTGACCTTATAAAAATGACGTGTTCCTTGGTTTCTCACGTGCATCCTTGCCAAAAACAAACCAGCTCCAAAACTACGCAACCGATCATTTAACAAATGAAAGTCGCTCAACAAAAGTTGTTCAACGGATCATAATGATTCCAAAAATACTAGAAAATGCAACGTCGCTTTTCACATTGACTAATTTTCAGGGTGTTTTCACTGGAAAATCCATCAATGATTCATAACAGTTTCACATCTAGAAAGCTCCAGAATTAGAGAGTATTTTAGTAATTTTCCTCAGGACCGGTTCTTTAGAATGCAGAAAAAGCAAAAATTTCCGAAAAATTGCTACGTTGCGTTTTGAAAGTGACGTTTTCCCTGGTTTCTCAGGTCTAGCCTAGTCAAAAGAAAAACACCTCGAAAACTACGCAACCGATCATTTAACAAATGAAAGTCACTGGACGAAAGTTGTTCAACGGATCATAATGTTTCCAAAAATACTAGAAAATGCAACGTCGCTTTTAACAGTGACCAATTTTAAGGGTGTTTTCGCTACAAAGTCCATCAATGGTTCATAACAGTTTCACATACAGAAAGCTCCAGAATTAGAGAGTGTGTTAGTATTTTTCCAATGCAGGAAAAGAACAAATTTCTAAAAAGTTGCGGTGTTGCCTTTTGAAAGTGATGCTTTCCTCGGTTTCCCAAGTGTCATCTTCGTCAAAATGAAAACAGCTCGAAAACTGCGCAAGCATTCATTATACAGATGAAATCCACTAGAGAAATTTTGTTCAACGGATAATAATGTTTCCAAAAATATAAACAAATGCAACGTCGCTTTTCACAGGGGTCAATTTTTCAGTGTTCGGTGAAAAATGTTACATTTGCCCATACCAGTTTCAAAAGCTCCACGGTAAGAAAGTGTTATGGATATTTAGTCACTGTCGGATTTTTCTAATGCAGCAAATATAAAAAATACCGATGTTGCATTTTGAAAATAAAACTTTCTCTGTTTCATTAGTGTAACGCTGCCTAAGAGCAAAACTGTTGGAAAACTACACTATAAAAAAGGCTCAATGTTTCACGATAAATTCAAACATGCAACGTTGCTTTTGAGTTGCGGATGTTTTCAAAATGTGCTTCAATTGTCTCTAAAACTCCACTGGAAGTAACCGTCCAGGAAAATAATTAACTGTTCCCAGCGTTTAAAGTTTGCGGTGTTTCTTTTTATCCTTTTTTCGTTTTTCCATGAAAAACTGCTGTGTGAAAAACAGTTTCCAACGTTAATTGAATGAAAGTTTCGTGTTTTTACCGCGCTGGATTCAAGGGGAGTTTTAGAAGTAATATTTTGTGCAAAGAAAAATAAAACAAACTAAATCGCTTCATTTCTTCGGAAATTCGAACGAATTAAAATTCCCCTTCGTAGGCAGTAGAAAATCGTTGGGATTGTAACACGCTAAGGGCCATATGCCATGGCACCTGGCGCTTGTCGGTGCTATAAATTTCCCGTTTCTTTCCGCCATTATCATAATACAACTTTGGCTAGAGGTAAACTTTTCGATAACCGCCAAAAGTTGCATAAAAAGTGATAAAACCTAATAAAAGCAAAGTAACATTTGACAGAGATCAGTGGAAGAAGTGGTTGACTTTTTGCATCTTTGGTCACGTCGTTTCACCGTTGCACATTGACGTGATGGTCACGTCCATGTGAGGTGACTGTAACGTTCATTTCCACATGATTATCACGTACGATCCAGGGATGATTGCGAATATTCCATTGCCGAAAACTTCATCCGTTGGAAGCACTATTGGCCCAACTAATCAAATTAGATCCAGATCGGTTTCCACTTCAGTTAGAAAAAATCCAAATTGAACGCACAAATCGAAAACCTTTAATGGAAATACCAAGCCAATTGAATCAATGTCGAACATCTTCGGTCTCGGTATTTTTCATACGTGACACAGAGCTCGTGGATCTGAAGAGACCTTTGCCCGTCTGGGTTGCTGGTGATTCCGCGGCCACACTTCGACGCGTGCACTCATTAACACTATTTATTCTAATCATTTCGATTTTTAATCACAACGCACAAAAATCGGTACGGGTGCATTCACTTTCGACCGATCGCCGATAAGCTTGGCTCAATAAAACCAGACTTTGCTCGTTCACGACTTTGTAGCCGACAGAAACGTGGAAACGTTCCGGGTTTATGAGCTCAGGGTCGAGTCAAGTGGGATCAGCAAGTCATTTTTTGGCTTCTGAGCTGATTTGGCTTATTTATGAGGTTTCTGGGGCGTGAAACTAGGAGGCGCGCACCTCCTTAATGTTAGCCACACTAACTTTTCTAGCAAGTGCCCTGATTTAAACCGGTTGCCTGCGTTCTAAGTGCTTGATTTCATTGCAAATGTATACGAGCAACAGTGAAAATTGTCTTCTTCGGACACTTATCCAGTGCTGGAAGCAGGCCTCCTTTAAACGCGTCTGTTGCCATTTGCTTCCACTTTGTTTAGTCTTTCAAAGAAAGTGTTTCCGTTATCTTTTGTCCTCCTTAGACTTTTTTATCACCCAGTTTTTCCTTCGACTTTGAACTCCTTCGTTTGTTGCTTCGTCTATGATTTTCTTAGCGCATTCTGCGATTCATTCACGTTTAAAATGCTCCAGTTTTTTCATCGTTTTGCTTTGTAACACTTCAAGAGCCTCGTTTTATGTCAATTTGATGCTGCTCAATTGATTATTGATTATTGTTTTCTAAATTTTCATTATTTTTTAGAGAGATAAAGTCAACCTGCAACGGCCCAGGTGCATTTTTTCAGGTTTTCCAGCAAACAGTCTGCATCAACTTTTCTGCATCAATGTTGGTTTCTTGTTGGAAATTGGGTTAATTTCTTCGCAAATCAGGCAATCGAAAATTTGCTCGATCTTCATCCATGGCTCTTGGAGTGTCTTCATCGTCTTGAGGAAAATTACCATTTTTTCTTCGGGTACTCCTTTTTCTACCTACCAGTTGACAATATATTTCTTTGCGACAACGTGAAAGCATCTTCATTCCTGGCAAGTATCTTGTGCACTTTTTTCTTAAGCAAAGTCGAATTAAGCTGCTGGCTAATACACTAATTTTTCGAAAAAGTGGTAGACATGCATTTATGCATGATCCATCCGCTCCAGACAGACGTTTGACCTAAAAAGCCGCGATATTTTCGTCTAGTTTTTATCATTTTACGTATGTAGAGCATAAATAAATATTTGGTTGGTAATTAACGCATCGTCTGTCCCTTAAGAAGTGCGTCAATTTGTTTATTTGGTTTTTTTCAGGTTAATTTGGATCTAATTGCGTCAATTAAGTGAATATACCCGAATTGCTGTCGTCATACTTTCCATATGACCTACAATTTGAAAATGGAAACCGCGTTAATTAATAAATTACATTTCTGCCATTCAGGAATTAAAAATGCAATAATTAAGTAAATCAGAAGTTTACATGCGGATATTGTCTATTTAGTGGAATAAATCATTCGTAAATTTAATTTCGTGATTAAAATTCGCGATTACTACGCTTACGTTGAACAGGAATTGTTTGTTTTTCACTGCTTCTGTCTGATATATTGTTTGTTTTGTATTGTTTTTTCAAAACATCATTCTTCTCTGTCGACTGACATCATCTGTAGACATCAGCGCAGTATCGTCAGCGAATGTGGGGATAAATCCATCAGTTATGTAGAAGTTATAGAGTTTTATGCAAACTCAACTGATTTTCCAGGGGCGTAGAAACTTGGCGAAAAATAATTCAACTGAACTCAAAACTCAAGTGCAATTTAAGTGTAATTTTTGGGGTATTGGACCTTCCATGCCTCTGAGAAAAAATTACAATTTAAGGGAACATTTTTAAATGCCATGGTTTTTATGAGATTTTGACTCAATGTACTTTTTTGTGTAGAAATCATATGCCTTTGAAAATCTGTGAAAATCTATGCAGAAGTTGGGAACAAAAGAGTTCCACTGAAACCAAAATTCAAGTGTATTTTTTGGGGTTTATGGCAATTATCGTGCCCAAAGTTCTACGCCTCTGGAGAAAATGAATGATTCAAAGGAACATTTTTAAATGCCATCGGTTTCTATCAACTTTTAAATCAACGAATTTTCTTGTGTCGGAAAAAGAAAAAAAATGCCTTGCTGCCTGCTCTCAAATTTCCATTTTTTCAGTAGCGCAGAAGTTGGGAACAAAATAATTCCACTGAACTCAGAATTCAAGTGCAACTTTTTGGGGTTTAGGGCAGTTATTGTGCCCAAACTTCTACGCCTCTGGAAAAAATGAATGATTCAAAAGCACATTTTTAAATGCCATTAGTTTATATCAAGTTCTAAGTCAACGAATTTTTTTGTGTAGGAAAAAGAAAAAAATGTCTGAAAATCTGCTCTCAAATTTCCATTTTTCCAATAGCGCAGGAGTTGGGAACACAATAACTTCACTGATCCCAAAAATCAAGCGTATTTTTTGGGGTCTGGCGCAATTATTGTGCCCAAACTTCTACGCCTCTGGAAGAAATGAATGATTCAAAAGCACATTTTTAAATGCCATTAGTTTATATCAAGTTCTAAGTCAACGAATTTTTTTGTGTACGAAAAAGAAAAAAATGCCTTTGAAAATCTGCTCTCAAATTTCCATTTTTCCAGTAGCGCAGAAGTTGGGAACACAATAACTCCACTGATCCCAAAATTCAAGCGTATTTTTTGGGGTCTGTCGCAATTATTGTGCCCAAATTTTACGCCTCTGGAAAAAATGAATGATTCAAAGACACATTTTTAAATGCCATTAGTTTATATCAAGTTCTAAGTCAACGAATTTTTTTGTGTAGGAAAAAGAAAAAAATGTCTTTGAAAATCTGCTCTCAAATTTCCATTTTTCCAGGAGCGCAGAAGTTGGGAACACAATAACTCCACTGATCCCAAAATTCAAGCGTATTTTTTGGGGTCTGGCGCAATTATTGTGCCCAAATTTCTACGCCTCTGGAAGAAATGAATGATTCAAAAGCACATTTTTAAATGCCATTAATTTATATCAAGTTCTAAGTCAACAAATTTTTTTGTGTAGGAAAAAGAAAAAGATGCCTTTGAAAATCTCCTCTCAAATTTCCATTTTTCCAGTAGCGCAGAAGTTGGGAACACAATAACTTCACTGATCCCAAAATTCAAGCGTATTTTTTGGGGTCTGGAAACAATTATTGATGCAAATAACATTGCTTAAAGCCGATTATTTTATACATAAAATTGCCCTTCGTCGATCGTTCTAAATAAAGTCAGCGGTTTGTAGGAAAATATTGCTGTTTATGATGAAAATTAAGTCTATTAATTATTAATTAATGGGTTTCTTACAAATCAGTTAAAAGTAGCAAGAAGCCAGTTTAAAAGAAGAAATAATGACTCAGAAAATTATAAAAAAATATCCTGAGGTAAGCTTTTAAACTATATAAAGTCTAGATAATAGAATAGAATCACCTACTTTTGTTTGAAAGTTTTTAACGGGAATTTTCTCATTATTGGGATAGTTCAGGCTAAAATTTTATCATAAATGCTTTTTCTGTTTTGCCTAAAAAAAAGACAGCACTGGTGCCTAAGATAAGAGGGCCAATTGTCCCCACACAAATAAACCTGACTTTTGAGCCGGTAAATAAACCATCTAGCCATTTTCCAGTTTCCAAAGTCCATCGAGTTTCCTAGAATCGCCTTGTTATTAAGCAGTAGCAAACCTTATCAAAATCAGTAGCGGTACTTGAACTGAAACTAGTCCATCTGAAACCCTATGTGAAAATCGTGCCATCAAGAGACTTTACGCCTCTGGATTCGTCAGCCGCAAGAACACTTCCCGGCAGTAACGCCGAGAGTCCAAAGTTGAGGATTTTTCTCGGTAGTCGATATTGACCCGGTGTTTGTTGCATCATTATTGTTGTTATCAAATGGAAAAATGCCCGAAGTCATTGATCAGACGGTTTGGTTCTGTTTCAGACGGCGGCAAAAAAGGCCGAACCATCGAAAATGGAGAGAAGAAGGCCGCCGATCTACCGACCGAGGTCGAGGACTGAAGTAAGTATGGAAATTACCAAAAAAATTGGATTTTTTGAAAACGAAAAATCGGCAAACTGTTAAGTGCTTGATATTGTTTCTTTTGGGAAAAAATGCAGCTTCGTGGGTTCCTAGAGTCTGTGGTAGTCTGTTTGGGATGTGGATGGTTCCCTCTGTTTGCAATGTTATATAGTTTGTCTAAACCACTTTGAAGTGGGGTTTTTCGCAATTAATTTAAATAACTCGGTGAAGATCCGGCAGAACCAGAAGCATTTTGATTTTCCGGTGGTTTTGTTACCTGAATAACTTTTTCTTTGAATATTTCTGGATCTTTTTAGGTTTATTCGATTCTTCATTCTTCTTTTTAAGTCTGCTCTTTAAGTTGAAATATCGCTACTGACCGCCAACAATATTGCAAGAGAACTCAAAAATTTGTGCAACTCATCGATGAAGAAAGAGAGTAGGTGTTGAATGTCTTCTCTTCTAGACAAGCTCAGTGAGCGGCACAAGAACAGACAGTGGACGTCTGCGTGGTGACGGCGGCGGCGGCAGCAGCGACGAAGACCTGAACCGCCAGCAGCAGGACCTGAGACAACGTCTGCAAGAGGAAGCCGCCCTTTACCGAAAACGTCTGGAAACTTACAAGCAGGCTCAACAAAACCAGGCTGCTCTAGTCAGCCGATTACAAGCTAAAGTAGGTATCAAACCAACTGCTCCTTCCTGCTGCATCAGCTTTTTTTGGGCAGGTGCTGCAGTACAAACAGCGATGTGCCGACCTGGAGTCTCAGATGGCTGAGTGCTTAGATCAGCCAGCCTCCTTGAAGGCCTACGCTTCAATGCCTCCGCCTAGTAGAACGTCTACCGGGTTGGGCTCAGAAGCGTCCGGATCAGCGCTGGAGCTTGCGCAGCAACATCTGCGCGAAGTGCAAGAGGAGAGGATAACTGATCTGGATGGCGCACTTCAGAGGCTGTTTGATGAGCGTAAAAGGTAAGCAAAGTTAATGAAGGATGCAACCAGTGCACTTTCTTCTTTTGAAATTCGCATTTTCGAAACCTAAGAAAGTAGAAACTTGAAAATTTCAACATCTTTAGAACACACGATTCTACGGAAGCTGAAAGTTTCAAAAAAATTGCCCAGAATTTTCATTTTTGCCAGCTTTGAAATGTAGGTTTTATAATGGACGTTTTAATTCAACTGCGTTCTTTTTTTTTAATTTGCATTTTGAATAAAAAAGCGTGTTGGAATTTGAAATTTTCAGCATCTTTAGAAAAGAGTTAAGCTGAAAGATTCTGAAAGTGTCATAAAAATCCCACAAAATTCTAATTTTTGCCAGATTAATAAATGTGAGTCTCAGAATGAACGTGTTCATTCAACTGTGTTCTCTGCTTTAAAAATTTGCCTCTTCCAAAGCAAAGCAAGATGTAATTTGAACTTTTCAGCATCCTTAGAAGACACTTGACTGTACAGATGTTGAAAGCTTCATAATTCTGATTTGTGATAGCTTAGTAAATGCGGGTCTCATCATGAACGTAATCATTCAACAGCACACTCTCTTTTAAAAATCTGTATCTTCAAAACTAAAGCAGATAGGAGTTTGAAGTATTCTCCATCCATAGAAGACATCTGACCCTAACGATGGTCAGAGTTACATAAAAATGAGCCATAATTCTGATTTTTGTAAGCTTCATAAATGTCGGTCTCATAATAGACGTTTTTATGCGACGGAGTTCTTTCATCTCAAAACTTGCTTTGTTTGCAAATATTCCTTAAAAAAAAAGAAATAATTTGATGTTTTCACCATCTTTAGAAGACAATTGATCCTAAAGATGCTAACAGTTCCATAAAAATTGCTGAACACCCAAATGTTTACCACCTCAGAAAATGTGCGTTCATATGGACGTTCTCAGTCAACTGAGCTCTCTCTTTTCAAAAGTTCGCATCTTCCAAACCGAAGCAAATAGGAATTTGAAATTTTCACCATCTTTAGAAAATACTTGACTCTGCGAATGCTGAAAGTTTCATCACCATTTCGCAGAATTCCGTTTTTTTTCAACCTGAGTAAATGTCGGTCTCATAATGCACGTTTTAATTCAACAACGTTATCTCCTTTAAAAATTTGCATTTTCCGAACCAAGGCAAACATGAATTCGAAATTTTCATCATCTTTAGAAGTCAATTGATCCTAAAGATGCTCAAAGTTTCATAAAAGTCGCTAAACACCTAAATTTTTACTACCCCAGAAAATGTGCTTTCATATGGACGTTTCCATTCAACTGCGTTCTCTCTTTTCAATAGCTCGCTTCTTCTAAACTGAAACAAATAGCAATTTAAAATTTTCACCACCTTTAGAAGGCACTTGACTCTACGAATGCTGGAAGTTTCATTAAAATTGCGCAGAATTCCGTTTTTTTCAACTTTAGTAAATGTCGGTCTCATAAAGCACGTTTTAGTTCAACAGCGTTATCACCTTTAAAAATTTGCATCTTCGGAACCAAAGCAAACAGGAATTTAACGATTTTACCATCTTTAGAAGACAATTGATCCTAAAGATGCTGAAAGTTTCATAAAAATCGCTGAACACCCAAATTTTTACCACCTCAGAAAAAGTTCGTTCTTATTGACATTGCCATCATCTTTTTTCGACAGGATTCGACGATTCAACAATTTCGCAGAATTACGTTTATTAAACCTGAGTAAATGTCGGTCTCATAATGCACGTTTAAATTTAAGAGCGTTCTGTCCTTTAAAAATTCGCATCTTTCGAACCAATGCAAACAGGAATTCGACATTTTCACCATCTTTAGAAGACAATTGATCCTAAAGATGCTGAAAGTTCCATAAAAATCGCTGAACACCGAAATTTTTACCACCTCAGTAAATGTGCGTTCATAGGGACGTTTTCATTCACTCTTTTAAAAATTTGTATCTTCGAAACCGAAGCAGGTAGGAGTTTGAAATATTTACCATCTATAGAAGACATCTGACCCTAATGATGGTCAGAGTTACATAAAAAGGAGCCATAATTCTGACTTTTGTAAGCTTAGTAAATGCCGATCACATAATAGACGTTTTCACGAGACGGAGTTATTTCATTTCAAAATTTGCATCTTCCAAACCAAAACAAATTGGAGTCCCAAAATTTCATCATCTTTGGCAGACGTTTGACCCTAAATTCCTTGATTCTGAAACTTTCATAAAGATCAAGCAGGATTCTAATTTTTTCCAGCTTAGCAAACGGGGAACTGATAATGGACGTTTTCGTTCAACTGCACTCTCTTTTTTAAAAATTCGCGTCTTTCAAACCAGACAAAACAGGAATTTCAAATTAACTTTCTTCAGAAGACACTTGACCCTAACGACCGTGAGAAATTCTTAAAAATCGCAACAAAATTTTGATTTTTGCCAGCTTTGCAAATGTAGGTCTCATAATGGAGGCGTTCGTTAATTCAACTGCGCTCTCATCTTTAACAATTTACGTGTTTCAAACCCAAGCAAGATGAAATTTGAATTTTTTTCCATCTTTAGAAGATACTTGACCATACGAATGCGGAAAATTGCACAAAAATTCATTCAGAAAAACATTCAAATTTTTACCACCTCAGAAAATGTGCGTTCATATGGACGTTTTCAGTCAACTAAGCTTTCTTTTTTCAAAAATCTGCATCTTCCAAGCTGCAACAAATAGGAATTTAAAATTTTTACCATCTTTAGAAGACACCTGACTACAAATACGAATACGAATAAAAATTGGGCAGAATTACGTTTTTTTCAAAGTTAGTAAATGTCGGTCTCATAAAGCACGTTTTAATTAAACAGCGTTCTCTCCTTTAAAAATTCGAATCTTCCGAACCAATTTGAAATTTTCACCATCTTTAGAAGACACTTGAGGCTGCGAATGCTGGATGTTTCATAAAAATTGCGCAGAATTATGTTTGTTTCAACCTGAGTAAATGTCGGTCTCATAATGCACGTTTGAATTCCACAGCGCTCTCTCCTTTAAAAATTCCCATCTTCCGAACCAAAGTAAACAGGAATTCGACATTTTCACCATCTTTAGAAGACAATGGATCAACAAGATGCTGAAAGTTCCATAAAAATCGCTGAACATTAAAATTTTTACCACCTCAGAAAATGTGCGTTCATATCGACGTTTTCAGTCAACTGAGCTCTATCTTTTCAAAAGTTCGCATCTTCCAAAGTAAAGCAAATATGAACTTGAAATTTTTACCATCTTGAGAAGACATTTGATTCTACGAACGCTGAAAGTTTTATAAGAATTTCGCAGAATTTCGTTTTTTCAACCTGAGCAAATGTCGGTCTCATAATGCACCATTTAATTAAACAGCGTTATCGCCTTTAAAAATTCGCCTCTTCCGAAGAAAAGCAAACAGAAATTCGACATTTTCATCATTTTCAGGGGACAATTGATCCTAAAGATGCTCAAAGTTTCATAAAAGTCGCTAAACATACAAATTTTTACCACCTCAGTAAATGTGCGTTCATATGGACGTTTTCATTCAACTGCGCTCTCTCTTTTTAAAAGTTCGCATCTTCCAAGTTGAAGCAAGTAGGAATGTGAATTTTTCACCATCTTCAGAAGACACTTAACTTGACTCATAATGTTGATAGTGAAACGTGTAAATTAACTAAAAAAATAAATTTGGAATAACAATCTGTCTGTTAAAAAAAAAACGTGTTATCATTTGCTCAATGTTATTCGGTTCTATTTTCATTGCCTACAAATTTACCATTATTAAGGTTTGTTTTATTAAGGCGATAAGTTAAATACATCTCCTTAAATACGCTGATTATTTTATTAATAACGTGCTTAAAGTCCGATTAAACTAAAGCTTGAATTTGGACAAAAACATCTACGAACTGTTGGGCGAAAGCTTCTGGCCATGTACAATAGACTCAAGTTAATCAGTTTTCAACCCTTGTTACATTACCTGAAATAATTTTTTCCCAATTTCTAGATCAGAAAAATTGCTGCAGCTCAACAGAGTCTTACGCGAACAACTGGAAGAATCCCACAGTACGAACGAAATGCTTACCACTGATCTTCAGAAGCTTACCAACGACTTCGAAACGCTGCGCGAAGAAATGCTGATCAAAGAAGACGAGTGGAAGGACGAGGAACAAGCCTTTAATGACTACTACAGGTAAACCCATAATCTCTTACTGAAACGATCAAGTAGAAGAAGCATTTTTTTCTAAAAAAGTCAAGAACTCTCATTCAAATTAATAATCTTTCAGTACCGAACATAATCGCTTGCTGAATCTCTGGCGGGACGTGGTGTCCGTAAAGCGCCACTTTATGGACATCCAATCGAACACCGAACGAGATTTGATTAAAATAAAAGCCGAAGTCTCGGACTTGGGACGGGAAATGCTGATGGCATGCTCGAGGATGGACTCTAATGTTTTTGCAGAAAACATAATTAATGTACCTACGACCTTCCGCGTTTAACATTTCTTGGCTTTCTAATGCTATTCCGTACTTTAGGCCAGGACTAAGCAAACAGCGAAAGACAGTGTGGAACTCCCGCACATTGAAGCCGAGCTGGAGACACTGAAGATGGATAAGATCAAGTACGAAACTGAGCTGCAGATGAAGGACGATCGCATTCAACAGCTGATCAGAGACATTCAAAATTTGGTAAGTTTATCACTCTTTTATCGATTGTTTCTATTATTCCAAGTGGCGCTAACGTTCTGCTTTGCTTGAAGGAGGACAGATGTGTGGAATCCGACCAAAACGTCTCCCAAGTGGTGAAAATGCAAGAAGAAATGGAGATTCTGGAATCCGCCTTACGCGACATCGCCCAGGCCTTGATCCAGGACGCCGAAACGAAAGATCCAGAGATTCTCCAGGCCACTCATTTGCATCTGAGCGCCTCAACGCCGGTTCCTCAAAAGTATGCATTTTACCACCATTTTAATAATTTCCTTCAAATGAACGGTTGAATTATAGATCGCCACGAAGATCCGGTCGCGGTCTGGCCGCACCAACAGCTTTCGCGGAAAGCACTATTTCGGCTGTTCAGGCAGCCCTGCATAAATATCAGTCGTATATTCACGAACTACAGGTAAACTGGCCAAAAGTCTAGAGGAGTTAGAGGAAACACTTAGAGCTTTCGGAGTAGTAGCACAGTAGAAATTCGCAATTAAATTCGGGGCTTTGGTGTTCAGTGTTCCCAGCCAATTAGCTCCAAGCTTTAGTAGGAGTTGATCCACGTTATCAGCTTGGAAAATAACGTATTCAACCCGGAGCTTGAATGAAATGTTTGCACTATTCGAATGTGTGTTTTTTCTTGGCAAATTTTATGATTTTTAACTCTACCTTTAAAGACACTCAAGCCATCTTCTAGGCAAGAGAACTTTGAGCGAATCGGGGCATCGATTTAACAAAGTTGCTTAAAAACCGCATGGGGAAATCCAGGGAAACCACATGTGGTCAAAATTTCCCTCTTCAGAGCAGTTGTTAGGGCTGGTTACAAGTGTTTCATCCAAAACAATCTATAAGAGGCTTCAACCGGTAATATTTTGGTGTCCTTCCAGGTCAAACTCCAGTCAAATAAGGAGCAACTGTTGTTGGTTCGCAAGCAGTTCGAAAATTCGGAAAACAGCAACGCTGCTTTGGAAAAGCGCGCCAAAGAGTTAGTTGCCCAACTTGACGACAGTAGGGCGCAGTGCGCCCAAGTGATTCAAGAGAGGGATCATCTGCACCAATCGATCGATGCCCTTAAATCGGATAAGGCCCAGCTGGATCGTAGTAGAGTCGATTTGAATTCTATGCTGGATTCGCTCAATCAAGGTAAAAGAGGTTTAGCCAATGATTGTTCAAGTGGAAAAATTGTTTTCACCGCTTGTCGTTTGCAAGAATATTCTTGAGCGCAGCTCAATAAAATTGCTTTATTCAAACCTAGAAACTCGTCCTAAATCGTCCCCATTGTGGGTTTTCCCCAGAGACAAGTTTAATCTAAACTTACGTCTTTTTGATATTTTAGCAGGAAAACATTCAAGAACACAGCTTTGCCACGTTCCTTTACAATAACTTTGGAAACTGAAGTAAAAGGAAAAGTTTAAACTTTCAGCATCTTTAGAAGATCTTAGACAGTAAACAAACTCAAAGTTTCAAATAAATTGCCCAAAATCCTGAATTTCTCCAGGTCAGTAATCGTGGCCTGAAACTGGATGTTTTGACTAAACCGCTCTCTCCTTTAAAACTCCTAAACTTGAAAGCTAACGCAACTAGAAATTTGAAACTTTCCGCATCTTTAGAAGACACTGAACTGTAAACACAGTCTCAAGTAAATTGCAAGGAATCCTGAACTTTTCCACGTCAGAAAATTGTGGTCTAAAACTGGATGTTTTGACTGAACGGCGCTCTCCGTTAAAACTTTTCATCTTGGGAGCTAAAGCAAATAGAATTTTGAAATTTTCCACATCTGTAAAAGACAATAGAGTGTAAACACACTCATGTTTCAGATAAATTGCCCAAAATTCTGAATTTCTCCAGGTTAGAAAATTGTGGTCGAAAACAGGATGTTTTGATTAAACTGCACTCTCTCCTTTAAAACTCCCCATCTTGGAGACTGAAGTAAATAAAAAGTTCAAACTTTCGGAATCTTTAGAAGACCGTAGACAGTAAATACACTCAAAGTTTAAAATAAATTGCACAACATCCTGAACTTTTCCACGTCAGAAAATTGTGGTCTGAAACTGGATGTTTTGACTGAACGGCGCTCTCCGTTAAAACTTCTCATCTTGGGAGCTAAAGCAAATGGAATTTTGAAATTTTCCACATCTTTAGAAGACAATTGACTGTAAACACACTCATGTTTCACATAAATTGCCTTGAAACTGAAGCAAATATAAATTTCAAACTTTCAGCATCTTTAGAAGACCGTAGACACACTCAAAGTTTAAAATAATTTGCACAAAATCCTGAACTTCTCCAGGTCAGAAACTAGATGTTTTGACTAAACGGCATTCTCCGTTAAAACTTCTCATTTTGGGAGCTAAAGAAAATAGAATTTTGCAATTTTCCGCATCTTTAGAAGACAATAGACTGCAAACAGACTCATGTTTCACATGAATTGCCCAAAATTCTGAATTTCTCCAGGTCAGAAAATTGTGGCCTGAAACTGGATGTTTTGACTAAACTGTGCTCTCTTTTTTAAAACTTCCAGCATCTATAGTAGACACTAGATTGTAACCGCCCTCAAAGTTTAACAAAAATCGCCCAAAATTCCGAATTTTTCCAGCACGGTAAGTTGTGGTCTGAAAATGAATATTTTTACTAAACTGCGCTCTCTCCTTTAAAAATTTGCATCTTGCAGCAAAAATAATATTTGCGTCTTTACAATTCTAGCCCAACCAAATCTCAAATTGGTTTGGGTCGAAGATAAACAGTTAAAATGCAAAGTATCCCGAGTAAACGGTACCAATTTGTTTACCAAAAAATAATTATATTAAAAAAATGTCTTAAATTTAGCTAAAAGTACAATGGCAACGGCCCTCGTTGCGCAATGTTTTGCATGTGGGGACTGAAATATAATCTTTCATCCTTCCAGCTTCCTAAAAAGAGCATTCACGAACACGGTTCTGTCAGGTTTTATGGGAAATTTGTATAAAATGTCTCTGAATTGGCATAAATTTACTTATTGAAGACTGTGGAAGCAACATTCAGGAAAATAGTTCTGCAAAACTTCAAGAGAAAAGTCCTCCTTAACCCGCATTAAGCATGCAGATGTTTAAATCCACTTCTTCCAGTTCTGTCAGATTTCAAAGGAAAAATTCGAAAAAATGTCTAAAAATTCGTTTAAAACCATACATGCACAATTTGGCTTCTTTGAGCCTCGAAAAAAACATTCGAGAAGACAGTTCTGATACATTTGAAGAGAAAAATCGTAACATCGCTTAAAAAAGCACTAAAGAATCACGTCTAGCTTGAGTCTGCAAAAAAAGCATTCGATAATACAGTTCTGTTGGATTGCAAACAAAAAAACTTAAAAAAAATGACTAAAAATTGTCCTTAACTCACATTAATTGTAGACTTGCATAAATTCACTTCTTCGAACTTGGAAAAAACATTCGAGAACACAGCGCTGACTGATTTCAAGAGAAATTCGTAAAATTACTCAAAAAAACATTAGATATTCACATTCCTAGATTCGGTTCTCGGAGTCTGGAGAAAACATTCGAGAACACAGTTCAGAAGAATTTCACGAGAAAAATTGTGAAATCACTCAAAAGAAGCATTAAATGATCACATTCCTAGATTCGCTTCTCGGAGTCTGGAAAATGCATTCGAGAACACAGTTCAGACAGAGTTCAAGAGAAAAATCGTAAAATCACTGAAAAAGCATTAAACATTCACATTCCGAAATACGCTGCTTAGAGTCTACAAAAAAATCATTCGGGAACACAGTTTTGTTATGAGCAAGGAAAACCTCTAACAAATAGTCACAAATTGCCCTCTAGTCTCATTAAATGTAGGTACACAACACATGTATAAATTCACTTCTTCGAGCTTTTGCCACCAATAGAAAACGTATAAAACCATTGCTCAGGTGCGCGCAAACCATTCAAGAACACAGCTTCGCAAAATTCTGCAGGATTTTTCCACGCATCTCTTCATTCACTCTTGACTTAAAACGAACCATTTTTGAACACAGCTCTGAAGGGAAATTCCATGAGAAAAATAGACAGAAAACTAAAATTTTGTCTGTATCTCCACTTCAAGTCTCGTTAAGAGGAAATTCGCCTCGCATAGTCTTCCACTTTATTGAGTTTGAACTTCAAAAAAGCATTAAATATTCACATTTCTAAATTCGCTTCTTGGAGTCTGGAAAATACATTCGAGAACACAGTTCAGACAGAGTTCAAGAGAAAAATCGTAAAATCACTCAAAAAGCATTAAACATTCACATTCCGAAATTGGCTGCTTAGAGTCTGCAAAAAAATAATTTGGGAACACAGTTCTGCTATATTTGCAAGAAAAAACTCTAAGAAATAGTCACAAATCGTCCTCAAGTCGCATTAAATGTCCACAACATGCTTAAATTCACTTATTTGAGCTTCGAAGAAAATATTCGACTATAGCAGCGAATAGAATCCCACATAAAACCTCTACCGCTAAGGGATTACGAAGACGGGAACTTCTGAACGCAGCTGTGAAATATTCCATGAGAAACATTGCAAATACTTCCTAAAAGTTGCATTTAAATCCACTTAAAACGACACTGGTAAGATTTCTTCCAGCAAAATTCACCTGCGCAGAGCCAAAGTTCAAACCTTCAGCTCTTGGAGCTTGCGAAAAGGGCATTTGAGATCAACAAACAAATTGCTCTTAAACCCACTTGAAAGAGCATAAGCAAGGATTCTTCATTCAAACCCAACATTTATAAAGCGAAAGTTCTATCTTTCACCCCTTTGCTAGAAAAACCATTCAATTCCTAACAAAAGCTACAAAAATTGCCCTTAAACAGCTTCAGCTTAAAAGCCATGGTGAGAATTCATCAGGTTACTTCACTTATAGGGACGCCTGGAATGACATTCACAACAAACTTGAAGCTGCGGAGGAATAAATTTGAGAACACAGCTTTATGAATAAATTCCCAAAAAATCGCTTTTGACGCAAATAAAAAAAGTATAAAACCCCCATTGCATCTTTCATTCTCAAATGCAGCTCTGAAAAATTTTACGCCACAGTGGCTTCCAGCACAAGCTGACTCTGGATGATCCATTCCAGCGACAGAAGTGCTTTTCCAGGCAGTTTCCTACTATAATTTCATCTCAAATCTTGTTCTTTCCAGACTACGATAAGCTGGCCAAAGCCCACAGCAAACTGCAGAAGGAGCTGGACTCCAACTACCAGGAGAAAGTGTTCCTACAGGCCGAAGTGGAACGACTGAACCAGGAGGCCGACTTACGAGAAATCACCTTGCGGGGCGAAGAAGATCGGTAATATGACCACAAAGAGCACACATTCTCCAGTACATTTTCATGAACTCGTTTCGATCTAGTTGCAGCCGCATAAGAGAAGAGCTCCTAACGGTGCGAGAAGAACTCCACAAAGCCTGCTTGTCTCACGATCTGCTGGAGCAGCAAAAACTGGAAGCTGACAGTCTGATATCGAGCCTGGAAAAAGTCAAGCAAGACTACGAACATCAGCTGGGGCAACTGCTGGGCGAAAGCTCCAATGTGCAGGATTCCCTGGTGAAGAAGGAAACGATTGCAGCCAATCTGGAGATCGACAAGAAGAAGCTGCAGGATGATCTAAAGAAGGTAAAGCTGGAAAACAGCTCAACATTGTAAAAAAGCTGTGGGTTTCAGCTGGAGGACGAAAAAGCGGCCCTGCAAGCCCAGTGCAGCGACCATCAGAGCGACATCCAGTCCTTGCGCAAAGAGCTGCTGCAAGCCGAGCAGCACCGGCTGGATCTGGAGTCCGACAAAGTCTCCTTGTCGGAGAAATGTAAATTTCTGGACATCGAAAAAGGAAAAGTATGCGCGTAAACCTGGGGGCGCTTCAAAAACATCATTGATCCAATCAATAATCCACAGACTGAAATGGAGCTCAATCAGGTAACAAGGGAAAGGAACGACCTGAGCAATCAGCTCACAGTGATGGGACGAAAGCGGGACGCTCTAAACGAGGAGCTGATGCGATCCAGACAAAAGCTGGAACAAGCCAATGAAACCAGCGCAAGAATCAACCGAAATCTTGAGGAATTGGTAAAAGAATGCGAAGACAAACAGGTAAATTTCCAGAAAATCCACTCGTCCAATCACCTGCATTACGCAAATACTCATAGTGCACAATGGATGCAATGGACAAGGAGATCCAGCGCATCCAAGAGCTCCTGGCTGCAGTGCGCTCAGAAAAAGAAGCCCTCGAGGCCGTATTGTTTGACACCCAAACCAACCTGGAAACTTCCGAGGATAAAAAGACGCAGCTGGAAAAGGATGTGCAGGAACTGCTACTCAAACAAGAGCAGTTCAAGTGCCAGGTTCGTACCAAATTCCACTGTTAACCAATTTTCTAGGGGCCAAACCTTTGCAGGTGACAAAGCTATCAAAGGAACTGGAGCGATCGGAGAAGAAATGCGCGGAAATCAAAAGCAGCATGGCCCATCAGGCCGGCAACAAAGAAGTCGAGTTCAAGCAAACAGTGGAAAAACTGCGCCAGCAGAACGAAGACAATGTGAAGAAGCTGACGGAGGAAAGGGAGAAGATTCGGGTCTGTTTAGAGAAGCGGCTGCAGCAGTCGATGCAACAGCTGAGCTCGGAAAAAAATGCGGAAATTCAGCAGCAGAGCGATCGAATTGAAGCGTTGCAGAACCACATCGACAATCTCTGTCAGCAACATGAGGAATTGATGTTGAGGGCTGAGAACGACAAGCAGCAAGCGCTTCTTATCGGTGAGTTTTTCCATTTTTCCAGTTCTCTAAGTGAAGTTTATTTGTCTGAACATGAGAATGGCAATTGCTTCCACTTTATGGCCATTTGTGTCACGAAAAACGTGGGAATTTAGTCACATTTTCGTCGCATGGATAAATTCTTAAAATTTTGGCAAAAACAAAACTGGGAAAATCTTGCAAAATATTCGAAATTTGAGGTTAAAATTTTTGCTCTACAGAATGCTAATAGGAAAAAATACATGCTCCTAAACGTTCAAAGACTGACTACAGGCTCTTATGGGGGCTGAACCTTTATGCCCCCATAATACCTTTTTTTCACATAAAATCAATTTTTACACACCGAACTTTTAATGGTGCATTTAACAGCTTTGGTATCAATTTTTCAAAATTTGTGCAAAAATATTAAAACCTTTTATAACTCGCTTAGCAGTCACTTTAGAAAAAAGTTAACATAAACATTGTTATGGGTTTTTGTCGCCTTTATCCAATGGTGTACTCGCAATCCCTCAATCGTTTTTAGTTTTGGGGATATGAGCGATTTTTTGCCAACCAATTTTTGGAATTGTCTCCCAAACCATGTACCGCAGGATTTTGAAAAGTTTTCCGCCAGATTCCTCTTGATCCGCCAGAAATTTAAGCAAGAGCAACATATTTCCTTGAAAACACTTAACGGTAAAGCACATGTCCCAAAGAATTGAAAGTTTTCCCAAAAAATTCCCCAGTAACCTAACGGATAATAACCAGGATGTCATCACCGTCTCTTAAGATTTTATCCGAAATTTCAAATCAAAAACACATTTTTGCATATTTTCATAATTTTTTTCTTACAGAGTGCTAAATAATGACCAAAGTGCTTAGGAAAGCTTCCTTTTTGAGCCAATAATTATCGAAATTTGAGGTAAAAAATGTTTGCTCTACAGAATGCTAATAAGGAAAAACACATGCTCCGAAAAGTTTAAAAGGTTCCCCGCAAATTTCCCAATAGGATGTTATGGGGGCTAAAAACCTTTAGAAACCCTCCAAATCCTCTTCAATTTGCCCAATTTTCACACACATAACTTTTAATGGTCGAAAGCACAAAAGTTTTCTCAAAAAATCCTTCACTAATCTAAGGTAGAATAACCAAAAAGTCACTCCATCTTAGGGTTTGAACCCGCAATTTTTTTATGTTTCCAAAATTTCCTTTGGCAATTTTGTAAAGACCACATGCATACCCCAAAGTGCTCAGAACAAATAAAGGAAAAACCACCAACAGCTCCTAAACTCAATCAAACGGCGCAGTGAAGCTTTTCGACTAAAAAAATCAAAATTTTTTCTTAAGAACCAAAGATTTTTGTGAACGTTTTTGAAAATTAGAACGTGAAACGTGCAGACAGCTTGTGAAATTCAGCCATAGTCAACTGTGACCATAATCAAACAAGAAAGAGTGTATTTTCTTCTATGGATTCCCCTAATTTTTGTAGCTCCAAAACTCGAACAAATAGAGCAATCAAAGGATGCTCGGGTACTAGATAGAGTGGTCGTGTGAATGGGGTTTTTAATTCTCTATCCAGTGGAAGGACAACAAATGGTGTAGCTCTAATGGTTCATGAGATATACAGGGTTGCTCATTAGTGCGTCAAAGTGCGATATCTCAGTAAATATGAAGTTTACAAGAAAATTCGTCCAACGAAAGTTTTTCACG